TTATTCTTTGATTTTGTGATCCCCCAGCCCTAAATTAACATTTGCTGCTGACTGCTAGAGAAAATAGGGTATAGGTCACAAACTGCTGCTAACTAGGAATGGAAAGAATTCTAGCTAAATTGGTTGTTCTGGGTTTTTCAGACTCTTTGGCCGTGTTCTGAAGGTTGTTCTTCCTGACGTTTCACCAGTCTCTGTGGATGGCACGTTCTAGCTAAATTCCTTCTTCCTTTCAGCTTAGGCCACCTCAGCAGGATGAGTTGCCATGATGAGGAATTTTTGAGAACCTCAAGAGTAACTAGGAGTGAGTGAAAGCGCCATTTCATTCCTCCTCAGACTCTCCATAATTTGTCCAAGAGGTCTCTAGTGTCCTCTCCATATAAGAAGCAAAATACACACGCAAAGAACAAGTACTGGCTTAGGGTTAAGAAAGACACAAACAACCCATTTCATGCTACAGATGCTTGAAGAAAGCAGGGATTTTTGGCCACTTGTGGAATTATGTGAATGGCATACAGCATCATTCTTATTAATGTGAGGATCTATCAATAGTGCCACACAATTCCTTGGCCTTGTTACTGGAAAGCAGATCCTCTCTCCATCCTTCCATGCAAGGATGAAACAAATGAGGATTTACATCTCCATTGTTAACCCGCATGCCTCTCCTTCTTGTTGTTGCTAAGCAACATGGGGGTTGAAAACTACTTTAATTTTACTTCAGTGGCCCTGGCTCCTATTGTACCCTAGCATTTATTGGCTGGTGAGGGACTTAGCATCTCATGCTTGGAAGCGTTAATGTTGTAGCTTAAGAGAGCACTCAAGATGTCTCTTGCAAAAGACTTTAAAAGTCTCAACAAACTACTCGTTCCGGGATCCCACAGGATGCAGCCACGACACTGGATGTTGCATCAAATGGCTGCAACAGCGTAGTGTGGAAACCCTCTCCACCATTTCAACCCAGTTGAGGAGCAGCACTAAGGCTGTGCACACATTCCTGACACCACATGTAGGCCTCTTGAAGACTGGAGATGCTTGGCCACCCATGGTTGCATTGATCTTCAGTTGGTGGGCTGGGAGTCATGACTGGGTGATGGCCTGAATCAAGATGGTTCTGATGGTTGTTCTGGGTTTTTCAGGCTCTTTGGCCATGTTCTGAAGGTTGTTCTTCCTGACGTTTTGCCAGTCCCTGTGACCGGCATCATCAGGGGACAGCAACCTGTGCTCTGGTGTGGTTGGCTTGGGAGTGCAGTATTTATGGCTGTGAGATAGGCTTTTGTCTTTTTCTGTAGATGGGTGACCCACAACAATACACACCAATCACCCATATTCTAAGTGCCATGAGAGTGTTTTTCTGAAGATCGACAGGGAGTTTTTAAAATTGTAATGGAAGTGCAGAGTCATGAATGTAGAGTAAAAGTCAATGTAATGACTAACATCATATAGGTGTAACAAGCTGATGTAATGCTTGATTGTTAAGCAAGACCAGCTGTAAATGGTGAAATGTGATCGGTTGTTCTGGGTATAAATGTAACAGAGACAGAACAGACCTTTGCCACTCAGCAGTAAGTCTGGTGGTCATTTGCTTCTATGTCATTGCCCTGAATGTTGTTATGCCAAATGTATATTGCCTTGTATATATGTGTAGCCATATCTAATATACTATATTATAATCACTGAGAACTCTCTCATGTTGTTTTCTCCCCATGTCTAAGTCTCTAACTTTGCTAAATTTAAGTGGAGGAATGGAAGCAGTCTGATAAGAGGCTCTGTATAACTAGTGTGCTTAGATTTCAAGGCTTGTCTTTTAAACAGCGCGCTTGCCAAGCTTCACATTCAACCAGACCCTAAGAAGTGTTCTTGAGGCCAGAGCCTCATTAAGCCTCTGGAGTTTGGGCCCCATGCCAACAGGTTCATGGCACTAAGACTAAAAGGGCCATGTCGGAGGCTGCTCCTGGCTCTGGAAATCCTTGCCAAGTGAGGCTACGTTTGCACCTTCCCTGCTATCCTTGTGTGAGCAAGCAAACCCTTTTTAAAAAATAGCCAGTGGTGGCAGCAGCACAACTGGATAAGGTAAGCCACCCCACTGGGCACAAACTGAAAAATGAAACCAGTTTGTAGTTGGGTTTTTTGCTTGGTTTGTAGTTGTCATGATGATGGGATATGTAGTCAGAGAAATGTAAAATGGATTCAGACAGGTTCTGTGTGAAGATGGTTTGAGAGACATTGGAATGTGTTTTTCTAAGTGCCATGAGAGTGTTTTTCTGAAGATTGGTACAGCCTGTTCCAAGATAATACTGAAGGTCACATCAAGGGGCCTGTGGAAGACACAACATTCCGAGCTAATGCTCCACTTTGTTCACTCTGCGATTCCCCTTCCTATCTGGAGACCAAGTAAATACTGCAGTTCCTTTAGTCTTCAGCCAGTGCCCTGAAACATGAAAACCTTCAGATCCTGGAGAAAGCTTCTAAATGTCTTGCAATTTGGGAAGGTAAGGGCCGCCCTGAATCTGAAAGGGGCTTTTGATGATGGGAGAGAAAATAACTTGATTGAGAGAGGATGTAAGTAAGGAGAGAGAAGTAGGTGGAGCTAGCCCACTTGTAACCTGCCTTAACCCAGCTTAGTAGTGTTTGTTATTTTAATGGGAAATAGTTATTTAACTGTAATGATCTTTGAATATACAGCACTGATGTTACCTGTCTGTCATGGGTTTGGAGGGAAAGTTCCATCCTATGGGGAGTGGAAGGCGGGACATCAGGAGGAGGGGCTGTACTGTATATATATGTGGAGTTTGTGTGGAGAAGTTGGGGGAAGCTGAAGGAGAGCTGAAGGAGAGCTGAGAGAAGAAGCTGGTGTGGGAGTCTGTGTGTCAGACAGGGTACTACTGTGTGTCAGTCAGTGCCAACCTGATAGGTTCAGGTGTCTGTATGGTTAGCCAGAACTGATAGGTTCAGGGTCTGTGCTTTATTTAAAGGTGTTCTGTGTGAACCAAACTGGTGTATGTATGATTGAGACTAAGCCACGTTACTGTATCTTATTCACTTGATCATTTTATTTTCCCTGTGTGTTATTTAAATAAACCTTATTCCTTTGTCATAGCCAGGTATCAGGGTTAATTGAGTCCTTATTATTTTAAGTGATTGCCTAACAAACAGGCACAACGTAAGAAGGCAACACCCTCACACGGCTTTGTTTTAAAGAGTAATTAAAGCAGACGTGCCCCTCAGGGAGGCGAGAAACATGACGCTTTTACTTCCATGAAGCTTTCCATTTTGCTCCCTCACCATTACACTCAAAGCTCTCTGGCAGAATACTAGAACTGCACACCAAAACTCCCAGCTCCCATATGTGGCATTTCTAGTTAAAATGACATGATAAAACCCAGGGGTGAGGACTTGAGTCGTGGGTTTCATTGTGAAGTTGCACTTAAGTCACACTGGTGACCCGACTCAGACTTGATTTGTGACCCCAAACCCACCCACCTTTCCCTTTCTTGTTTTTGTTTTTAATACGGACTTGAGACTTGGAACTGAAGACTTGGTCAGGCTTGGGACTTGGAACCAAAGCCTTGTCCATACACCCAATTAAATCTGATAAAATCAATGTATAGTGGTGCCTCGCAAGACGGGCGCTCCGTTTAACGATGAATCTGCATTACGATGAGGTTTTTGAGATCACAAAAGCGATCGCAAAACGACATTTTGAATGGGTGAATTTTGCTGCGCGATGATCGGTTCCCTGTTTCGGGAACCGATTTTCGCTTCTCGACGATCAAAACAGCTGATTGTCAGGTTTTCAAAATGGCTGCCGGGTGCTCAAAATGGCTCCCCGCTGTGTTTAGGAGCCATTTTTCGCTGCACAGGCACCCAAAAATGGCAGCCCCTATGGAGGATCTTCACTGGACGGTGAGTTCTTAGCCGATTGGAATGCATTAACCAGGTTTTAATGCATTTCAATGGCTTTTTTAATTTTCACTTTATGACGTTTTCGTTCTACAGCGATTTCGCTGGAACGAATTAACATTGTAATGCGAGGCACCACTGTATTTGAAATCTGGTGCTGGAGGAGTACTTTAGAAATATCAGGAATAGTCAAGGAAGACTAATAAACTGGTCCTAGATTAAATCAAATGTGAATTTTCTTCAGAACCAAAAATGATGAAAAGTGAGGTTGTCCCAAATTGACCACATCATGAGAAGACAATATGGCTAGGAAAAATGGAAAGGAGTGGGGGGAAAATGACGCCCTGGCATCACACAGATCGACTCAGTAAAGGAAGCCTTCAGTTTTCTGTTAAGGATAGAAGCTTCTCGGAGTCATTAAATTTGTAGGATGGCCATAAGTCAGAAATGACGTGACAGCATATAACAACACCAGTGCCCGGCGGTTTCCAAACCAGTCAGGTAAGCAGTAGTTGGAATCTAGGTGCAGAATTTTCTTCACTTATGTGATCATGCCTCAGTTCTCCTCTGCTAGGCTTTCTTTCACGTGGCAGGTCATGACCTGGTCATAAAATCAGACGTGTGACCAGTTGTTTTGTCCCACCAAGTTCTGCAGAACGAAGGAACAAAATAAACTCGTCATCAGTAGAGTGGCAACCCTACATTGCAGACTTTTGGAGGTAGAGAAAGTGCAGGGGTGGTAGACTTTCCTACTGAAAAGATTAATTGTTGGACCTCCAGGCCCCTGGAACTTACAGACCCTGGGAGAGAGATTGTTTACAGATTGGGGGGGAAGTGAAAACAATTGGTAAGAATTATAAATACAGGGAGATAAGATGCACTCCCACTAATTCAACTCATCAATGGCCCAACACTATGGGACACCCACCGGATACTAACAACAATCATGAAGCAGAGCAGAGTCACCTCAAGCTGAGCCAAAGAGCTGGGAAGAGGAAAAAGAGAACAAAGCAGCACAGAGAGAGGACACCGAAATAATAGATTTTCCTCCATAGATTTTTACTGGTAGAAGGCCGGGTGAGCATTTTAAAGATGTATTCTATTTCTCTATGTGTTATTAATTTGCTTAGAAGCTAAGAAAGTCATTTACTTTATGTATTCTTACTTTTAACACCTTTGATATATTTTCCTGTGATTTTTAAGTAAGGCTAAAAATTTGAATGTGGGGGATTGAGTGCTGCTACTCCTGAATTCTGTCAGATTGTGTGGGAAGGGCCTTCTGTTGTGAAGCAAAAGCTTGGACATATTAATTACGTAACTGACAGGTCTGAGGATGTCATTAAAATCACCTTCTCCTTCCCATCCATTACTCTATTTCCTCACGTTCAAGTAATGTGTACAGGACATATGGTTTTAAACTACTGGGAAGATAAACTGTGAGGTGACATAATTCCTGCATGTATTACTTGAAAGTGAGGGAAAGAGCAATGGATGGGAAGGGAAAGGTGGTGATCCCTGTTATGGGATCATTTTGGAATGTAAACTATGATATAATTTTCAAAATTAGTCTTCAAACATTTTCAATGTTCGATATGCTTTGATTGTTAAGTACCTTTCCATGTTATGATTCTATAAAAATTTTTTGAGAAACTCAGTAGTCCAAAGCTTTAAATGAGAATGTGGCTTCACAGAGAAATATAAAAGGATCAGTAGAGGCAGGACCAGAGGAAGGAACGCTCGGCAGAGGTGAGACAAGAGAAAGGAAGAAAAGAAGGGGAGCTGTGGCAGGAATGCATTGCATCCAGTATGAATGATGAACTTTCAAAACAATCTGCAGCCCCTGTTTGAGCACCAACTGTGAATTCAAACATAATAGAGACTGTGAATCAAATCAGAGTAAAGTGTAGCTCCGCCCTGAGAAGGGCATTCTTCTTTCTATTCTGTGTGTTTTAGGAAATATTTTATTTGACCCACTGTTTCCAGTCATTATTTTTGCAGGAAACACTTTGTGGAAATAAGCATATGGTGCCAGATCCAAGAACCAGAACACCATAAGATCAAGTCTTATGCAAGCCAAGAGATAAGCTTGGATTAGGATTCCTTGCTAGCTACTTTTAGCCTCTGGAACTCCCAGCAAGAAGATGAGGCTAATCTTTCCCTTCTCTTCTCCTTCCACTAGAGGCACCTTCCCAGAGCTTCATATTCAGGCAGGCCTTTGGCAGTGAAATGGTTGCTAAAGAATGGTCTTTTCAGTGAACGAATGCTGTGTTTTGCTTATTTGTGTGTCTCAAATTGTGTTATGAACTGTTTTAAATGTTCTGATGCTCATTTTGGGGGGAGGTGTATTGATTGTCCAATGACACCTCCCCCAATGAGTTTCCATGGCCAAGAAGGGATTCAAACCCAACAATAGGTATTCTGTTTTTTGGGGTAGCTGATCCTAAACCTCCCTTTTCATGAGCGAGCATCTGAAGCTCCTTAGCGTTGTAGCAGACTGATTTTTCAGTCAGAATTCTCTTTCTGGCCTTGGTCTGTATCCTTAATATTGACCATTCTCAAGATGTGGATTTAAAAACTAGGGATGTAAATCTTTGCTTTTTTCCCTCTTCTCGCAAGGAAGAATGAAAGACTCCAGGAAGTGTTTCCCTGCTGGGGATGATCATGAGCGTTCATGTTTGTTTGTTTTTGCATGTCAAAGCTTTTATTGCAAAAACCTCCCAGAAATACATTTTTTCTGAACAAAAACTTTTCTATTCTGCAGGCAAGACACATTTTGCACAATACATTGGGTGTGTGCAAAACCTGCAATTTTTTTAAAATGCTGGTGATTATAAAAAAAGACATGCTGGTCTTTTTGGACTCATGACAGGGCGAAAATATTAAACGAACGAACGAACGAACGAATGAACGAACGAGCGAACGAACGAACGAAGAATATATGTAGAAGATGCCCATTTTTCCAACCAACTGTATCAGACTACACCCTTTGCTACCAAGAATGAGGAACTCTGCAAAGGTTCATTACACCCTTAATTCAGAAGCAGTACCTGGTGCCATGTCTTCCCTCCACCCTGATCAGGGCCTGCATCCTGGAATAGAGCAGCAGGACGGCTGTGTCTGTTCAGAGACCAGAAGGAGCTCGGCCGAAATCAATCCTTACGAAGGGCTACACGTGGGGCATCCCTTTCACGCCTCATTAGTGACTTGGCTGTCATCATCAAAAGCTTCCCATTGGGGCTTTAACGAAAAAGACGCATGGAGCGCTTTCATCCCAAGGCAACAAGCAACGGTGTTTGTAGACGTGTGATGTCAACAGATATTAACTGATTAGGCTGTTAGTATCAAAGACACAGAGGTGTCCTGGAGGGGGCCGTGAGGGCCGCCCAGGCTTCTCTGTGCTGTTCAGAGCCGGCGATGCGCTCAAGATGCATTCAACAGCTCCCCACCATGTTATTATAAGGGCTTATTATAAAATGTGCCTGACAGCTTCAAGCCACATCCTACGACCTTTCCCATACACCCGCTCATTACTTGCGTCAACAAATGTGAAAAGATTTTTATGGGGAGGGGGCGGGGAGATGGGATTGGCTTCGTTTCTCAGGAGACGTGACAATGAAAAGAGCTTGCCCCATCCCAAACCATCCTATCTTCTTTTGGTGTTCATTTTGCGTCTGTTCATACGTACACCCGCTCCAGCCCCATTTCTGTAACGTTTTTGTATTTTTGACAAATCACGTGGAAATAGACAGTTGTTTTCTCATTGCTCATTGGGCACCAGACAACGTTATCTTGATGGTCGCTGTGGGTTTTTCGGGCTCTTTGGCCGTGTTCTGAAGGCTGTTCTTCCTCATGTTTCGCCCGTCTCTGTGGCCGGCATCTTCAGAGGGCTGGAGTAGGAACTCTGTCCATGCTCTGTTGCTGTTTGTTTGATAGTTGAGTATTTATAGCTGTGGGAACAGCTGTTGTACTTTTCATGAGATAGGGTGATGATGGTGATCAGTGTGTTTTTGTTGTGGATGTATTGTTTGGATAAGGGGGAGAGATTATCTGTCTCTGTGATTGATGGGTGTCTTTAGCTGGTCTTTTTTTGGTGCTATGATCCCTGGTCCTTGTGGCTGGGTAGAGTTCGTTGACCTTTTGCAGGCTTATTTAACATGTTATCTTATTCATAACGTAATGTTCCACAAATGCCTTGCATTAAAAAAAAAACTTAAAATGGCACAAATCATCCTAACTGTTGCCCCAACAATGGCATTCATCACACTCAAATGGCTAACAAATGAGCTTTAACAGGTGGAAAAAAAGAATGTGATCCTCCCCACTAACTCCCCTACCAGGAAACACATCATGGGTAATGTCACTAGCAGTGACACCATACATCTAAACTGGAGAGGGGCAAGAACCACAGGTTCAGCAGTTTATGCCAGTTCAGCTGTGAGCCCAACCGGTGTTCTGCAGTTCAACATGGTGGATGCCTACATGGAAGTAGCATCCGGAGGAGGTGAGCCAGGGAAGACAGGGTGCTGTCTCCCAGTGGAACGCCCTCCAGAGGAGGAGGAGAGGATCAGAACCACATCGGAATCATGGAACACAAGAGGAGGGCCAGGATCTGTTCTTGATCACACCAGAATACAAGAAACGTAATAATGGGCTCGAGCTACAGGAAGCCAGGTTTGGGATGAGTATCAGGAAAAACTTCCTAACTGTTAGAGCAGTACGACAATGGATCCCATGACCTCGGGAGGTGGTGAGTGTTCCAGTGCCGGAGGCCTTCAAGAGAAAGCTGTACAACTGTATGTCAGAACTGCTTTGACTTGGATTCCTGCTTTGAGCAGGGTGTTGGCCTTCTAGGCCCCTTCCAGCTCCATTATTCTATGATTTCATAAGTCAAGAAAACAGAATGGTCTACAAAAACGGGTAGTTTCCAAATGCTGGGGATTCTGACTACACCCCTCCTCCCCACCTGCCATCACTCACCAGGGTCTTGTAGTCAATCTGCTGCCTGATGAGCTTGTCCTCGCTTAGAGAGTAGCGGGCTTCTCCAGTGATGGCATCAATCGGCCCCTTCTCCATCTGCTGCTTGATGGCACAGAACAGGGAAAACAGGGGCTCACCAGCACATTCCTGCAGGAAGGCAAAGAGGTGGAGGAAGAGGACAATTAGACCATGACCAGAAGAGCCTTCTCCTTGGAACGATCATGTTTTCAGAAGAACTTGGGAAAGTTCCTCTTTTTTTGTTTTTGGTTGGCACATGGGCAAGAAATTCCCTGTGAATCCATTCCAGGTTTTACTCATCACTTTACAGCAGCTGTCCAAGGTGCTGAACTTATAGATCAACATAGATTGACCATCTTGGATGGATCCTGAAAAGTATAGACTAATGGCCTGCACCCTGCTGCCACTGCATGGCATCAAGGCAGAGAGGACAAAACTGTTTTCCTGGTTTTGATATGAAATTCTTTTTCAAGGACAGCTCCTAGAAGTCCCCATTGGCCACCCTGACGAGAAGATTATAGCAGTTGTAGTCAAGAAAGTAATTTCCTCAAACCCTAGTTTTGCTATACACATAGGTAAAGGTAAAGGTTCCCCTTGACATTTAGTCCAGTCATCTCTGACTCTAGGGCATGGTGCTCATCCCCATTTCCGAGTCATAGAGCCAACGTTTGTCTGAAGACCGTTTCCGTGGTCAAGTGGCCAGTGTGACTAGACACGGAACGCCGTTACCTTCCCACCATGGTGGTACCTGTTTGTCTACTTGCACTTTTTACATGCTCTTGAATGGCTAGGTTGGCAGGAGCTGGGACAAGAGACGGGAGCTCCCTCCGTCGCATGGATTCGATCCTACGACGGCTGGTCTTCTGACCCTGCAGCACAAGGGCTTCTGTGGTTTAACCCACAGCGCCACCACATCCCTCTATACACATAGAGCTACATTTAACTGTAAGTCCTAACTAGGATAGATCCAGTGAACAAATAGGACTTGTTAATTCCTCACATTTGGAAGTCCCATGGATTCAATGAGTCTGCACTAGCTTGCACAATGAACAAGATTTAGCCATACTGTTTGGGGCCAGGTCAGAATATCATTGGGTTCTAACATAACTGGATCTTTACAAGGGTAACAGGAGTGGGGGTGGTTCTGTGATGCAATTTAACATACAGGGGGCCACAGAGAATTGTATTTAAATTGTTGCTGTCCAGAGACCTTTGGGTAGTGTTGGTGACATGTAAGTTAAACAAACAAACAAAGAAACAAATAAAGAGAGGAAAGAGAAATGAAGTCAGAAAGTTACCAAGGAGAATTACATATGCTATAAACCAGTACTTTCTGACCTTGAGTCCCCTCATGTTCTTGGACTATAACTCCCAGACATCCTGGCCAGCCCAGCGAGTGGTGAAGGTTTCTGGGAGTTTTATTTCAAGAACATCTGGAGAACTAAGGTTGGGAACCACCGCTATAAGCCAATAGTTCAAGCTTCTGTACCTTATACCGAACCAAACAAACAGTTTTCCCCCATGGTAGAAACAAACCCCACTTTTCCAGAAAATGCCATTTCTATATTTACAGGTATTCCATTATTATATTTATGATTTCCACTATCTTTTAAGAGCATAAAATATTGCCATTGCATCGTAGGAAGCAATGCAAATGAAGGACAATAATTTAAAAATAATACAGTATAGGCAATAAATACAGATTCTGTTAGCCTCAGGAAGCACCACATTTAATGACATTCTCTGTTGGACTGTGGAAAAACAGGTTAAGAGAACATCCATAGTTATAAGCCGTACACTGAAAAAGCATAGATGGGTAGTAAGTACATGGGTGACAGTGATTCTGTATAACAGTTAGCTTTGCAGCCTGAGGAATTCTGGGAGTCGTAGTCCAGAACCACCATTTTACACAGCTCTAGTTCGGATGACCCTCTGCCCCGCCTAGGCTGCCTCCATGTCCTGCTAGATCAAGTGTCACTGCAGAAGAAGACCGAGATCGTCCACACGATCCTATTTCCAACCACCATATGGGGTGCAAAAGCTAAACAGCTAAGAAAGCGAACTTGATTCGTTTGACATGCGGTGCTGGAGGAGAGCTTTCAGGATGTCCTGGGCGGCCAGAAAGACAAACAAGTGGATCCTAGATCAAATCAAGCCTGATTTATCTCTGGAGGCAAAAATGAGGGAACTGAGGCTTGTCCTGCTTTAGGCACGTCCTGAGAAGGTAGGATTTGCCACATAAGACACTAATGCTGGGAAAAGTTGAAGGCCGCAGGAAAAGAGGAGGACCAAACATGAGATGGGCTGACACCAACAGGCTTGAGTGTGCAAGACCTGAGGCAGGGCTGTTGAAGACAGGACATTTCGCAGAGGGTCCGTTCACAGGGTCACCATAAGCAGAGGCCAACTTGACAGCCCATAACGAAGTTCTGATGATCCATCCCTGGCTGCCTCCCTATCCTCCTAATGGTGTACGGGCCACTGGCTGAAACCCGCAGCTGTAGGTTAGACTCTTTCTGTCCGTCCCTGTGTAACTCCCCTTTTCAGTGTTCAACGTGGATTTCAAATTTAATCAATGATTTCCCTCAACAGCCCCCAAGCCGGAACAGGGCTGGGCGGCTGGTTCCCCCACGGTCCATTTTCTCCACTGCCCCTGCTTTCTCTCTCTCCCTCCTGGGATTGCAGGCTGGCCTCTAAGGAGCCTCTTCCTGCCCAATTCGCCGGGCTGTTTCAATTTTTCGTCCTCCGCAAATCCCCGAGAAGACGCCGGTTCCTCAGCCCCGAAGCCAAAGTGGGGCCTTGACTCAACGCCGGCACCTGCCTGCCACTTAATTAGCTTATCTCCCGGCAGCATATTGCCTCTGCGCGGCTGCCTATTGCCCTTATCAGCCGGCATTTTCGGGCGAAAGGCAGGAAGACAAGAAGCCGAGTGGAGGGGGAAAAAATAAAATAGCTTATTATGAGAGCAAAGCTTCTCACCTCCCTCTCGCCCCCCACTTTCAGCTGGATAATGGGAATCTGATAGTAGGAGAGCCACCAAATCGACCTTCCGGGGCCCTTCAAAACTTTTCCTGCTGCAAAAGGTAAGAGATCACAAGAGGTTGGAGGAGGTCTACTCAGAGCGTTTTAAAGCCTTTCAGGCTTCAGAAACAGCATCGGCATCGGCAGTAATTGGTCGCGAGAAAGATGCTAGTCCCTGGCCGCTAGTGGCACATTTGGTCATGGAAATCCAGGCGCTGTGACAGCGCTTAGTTCTTTTTCCCTCTCTCCCTCTCTCTGTATGTGTGTGCTGTGAATTGCCACCATCGGGACAAGCGATGACTTGACCGGTTGTCCGCGTTAACAGATGTGCAAGGTTGGATCTACACAAGAAGACTTATGCCAGGCGGTGGAGCTGTGGTCGGTTTCAGGGAAGAACAACATTGGTGTTCGATTTTAATTACAGATCCCACAACTCCTTGGCACAAGGTGACCAAACAGAAAACCTCACAAGTTTTCTAATCTCTGGCACAGGGATTCAGTGGCTTGTATTTTTCTTTTTCTTCTTCTTTTTCAACGGTAATAGTTCCCATTTCAGCTAAATGTCCTTGAGGCATTCCCCCAAGCTGTAACTCCAGGGAAGGTCAAAAACTGCAGGCAGCTGCTCTGATCCATATCAAAGACAGTTTTCTGTTCTCCACCAGAACTAGGGCTTTTGTAAAGCTAATGGGTTGAAGCACCCGCCCCGTTCAAGATAAGCCTACTCTAAAAGACTTAGCATTATCAGAGAGAGAGAGAGAGAGAGAGAGAGAGAGAGAGAGAGAGAGAGATCACAACATCATTAGAATATTCCAGCTGGGGGCCTTCTCCCAGCTACATCATGGTCAAAATCCTGTTGCTTAGTGTAACAAATCACACTGGAGTCAGCCCATTGAATCAACGGGGAGTTGGTCAATGGAATCTCCATCGGTTCCATTGATTCAAAGGGGCCTACTCTAATGGCAACTTACTTGAGCACAGGTAAAGGTTCCTTTTTTTTTAACTTAATTTTTATTATATACAAAAAAATTACACAAAAGAACACATACATAACAACAAAAATACAAAAAAATACAAATAATAGTGCTTATTATAAACTAAATTCTAATGTGCACCCCATACCCACGGGACTCTATTTACTATAATAATTTTTTTCTTACAGATTACCTCTCCAAAATTGTATTGAGTATTCTTTAGAGGCTTTCCCCCTTCCTTTCACTAACACAAATTCCACAAATTTACCCCAAATATCATAGAAATTGTTACATCTTATTTCCCCTCTTTTTATTTTAAGTTCCATAGTCAATTTATCATTTAATGCAATGTCCCATACTTCACAATACCAGTCTTCAATTTTAATATCCTTCTTGTCTTTCCAAAATCTAGCTATTAATATTCTAGCACCTGTCATAAAATTAGTGATTAATTCTTTCGAGTGATGGTCCAGATCTGTATTATCAAAAATTGACAATAAAGCAATTTTGGCATTAAAATCAATATCTTTACCAAATATATCACACATTTCCTTAAAAATCAATTCCCAAAATTTCTTAACCACTTTACATTCCCACCACATATGAAAATACGTACCAATTTCCTCATCACATTTCCAACATGCTTTGGAGTATGTTGGATTTATTATATTCAATTTTACAGGAGTCAAATACCACCTTAGACAGATTTTAAAAATTTTTTCCTTTATTCTTGTTGACATTAATCTTAACACTCTCATCCTCCACATTTTTGTCCAATCCTAGGTAAAGGTTCCCTTTGACATTTAGTCCAGTCGTGTCCAACACTAGGCTGCGGTGCTCATCCGGGTCTCCAAGCCATAGAGACAGTGTTTGTCCAAAGACAGTTTTCGTGGTCATGTGGCCAGCGCCACTAGACACAGAATACCGTTACCTTCCCAACGAGGTGGTAACTATCGACTCACATTTTTACATGCTTTCAAATGGCTAGCTTGGAAGGAGCTGGGACAAGCGACGGGAGCTCACTCTGTTGTGTGGATTTGATCTTACGACGTCTGGCCTTCCGACCTTGCAGCACACAAAGGCTTCTGCAATTTAACCTGCAGCGCCACCACGTCCCTTACCTTAGCATAGTCAGTCACAATTAGAGTAGGCTTCCTGAATGAATGTAACTTATAGAGCAGTTGGATTTTGAAATCCCCATGGATTCGATGGGCCTACGCTAGAGTGATATACTACACCAAGCAACAGGATTTGGGCCCATATGAATGCAGCTACGTTCCAGGGGAACAGATGTCCTGGAGTGGTGGTGCATGATGACATTGTAGTAGTCAGAGGGTCCTGGCATGCTGACTCTGTCAGCCCATTCCCCATTGGGTTAAAAGACCTGCCACATCCCCCTCTTCTAAGAATTTAGAGCCAAAACCCAACACCAGGTCTTTGTGGTATCATACAGGAAGATCAAGCTAGATCTGGGAGGGGACAAGGCGTAACACATGCAAACACCTTCCTGCTGATCCAGTGGTCTCTGATGTCAGCTGGGAATGAGTAAACATGAGTATCCAGACTTCGTTGGCACCTCACACAAACACTAAACTTTTACTCTGTTGTGCAACAAGCTGCCAAGCATTGATTAACTGATGATGGAAGCAGTTTTGGTTGATGAGGATAGGGGGTAGAGATTTTCAAAAGTTCTTTTTTAAAACCACAGCTCCCATAATTCCCAAGCTCTGGTCAGGATGTACGTTATTATTTCTTGAGGCTATCTGATTCTGAGGTAAATATAACTGGAAATCTAAGGATGCATCAGTCTGATGTTTATCAATAGCTTTGTAAAAAATATTTCAGTGTACAAGCCCTGAAAAAAAGTTGTACAGTATTTCCAAATACACAAGGAAAAAGATTAAATGTCTCAGCCTATAGACAATTTTCTCTCCATATTGCAAGCGAAAATCTAGTATTAGTCCGACCTAGAGTAGACCCATTGAAAGGAATGGGTCTCATGTTTGTTGTGACCAACAAGTCCCATTCATTTCAAAGGACTGACTGTATTGAAGATTACTTCTAACCAGTTTGGGTAATGTAGTGAAGCCAACAAACGCTAAAGGCGGGAATGTTCATCTCCAAGTAAAGGCAACAAAGATTGGGGTCAAATTGCCCTGTGTCTTTTTGATGCCACTCTGAGCTGGTCCTTGTCCACGTCCAAGAAGGTATTTTTTTATATTTCAAGTACTCCGGGAAGCCCCCATTCCTGTGATCACAAATATCTGACCAGTGCAGAAAGGAGAGGTAGTCACTTCTGACATCAGCAATACTAGAAGCTTTATTTTTTTTACTTTCTCCCTCTTTTTTTTTCCAGCCAGCAGAAGAAAGTACAACTATGTTCCTAAGGCAGTCACTGAGGAGTGAGTGAGTGGGGCACTTTAAAAGGGCAATAGACACAAACTTCTTAAAAGGGCAACATACACATTGCAAAGAATCCAAACCTATCAAAGAAAATAAAGAGAGCAACCCACCCAATGAATCTCCTTTTCAGACCCTTCCTTGCACAAGTCTGAGAATGCTGCCAAGACTACTTTGCCATACCTTGAGGAATTTGTAGAGCAAAAAGGTGAACCAGTTGGTGAGCATCTTTTCAGCAACAGATTCCGTCCTAAAACAAAATGGAGGGAAACAGAAAATTACCAGTATAAACCACAAACAAAATAAAACATGTATTCTCAAAGGCTTTCACGGCCAGGATCTGATGGTTGTTGTGGATTTTTTGGGCTCTTTTGACTTCAGAACAGGGCCAAAGAGCCCGAAAAACCCACAACAAAATAAAACATGTTTGTTCATTCAGAAAGCTGTGTTATAGTGAGTCAGCTCCCAATCGGCTTCTGTAAGACAGTCACAGGGAAGGGAGTGAGTGGGGGATTTTAAAAGGGCAACATACATGCGGTTCATTTAAGCCAATATTATCAACTCTGACCAGCAGCAACAGCTCTTCAGAATTTCAGCCTGCATTCTTCCCCAGTTGTACCTGGGGGTCCCTAGTATTCCTGAAGATTCCCATCTAAGTATTATCAGGCCCGATCCTGCTTGGCTTCCCAAATCAGGCCTGGTATCCTTATGGTAGTGTCCTAGTATTTATTCATTGCCTTTCCACATTACCCAGGGTCTGGGTTTTCCTGGATACTTTTTAGAAATGAGTATATATTTTTGTAAGAGTTAGCATTTACAAAATTTGAGTGATAATAATCACGGCATTTGTCTTAAATCTCATTTTTGGAAAAAAAATCATGCATAGGTACCTGTTATTTATATACCATGTATACAGACAAACTTTGATGTAACTAATCTTTTTATTAAAGAGTTGAAGCCACCCCTTTGAAACTTATTCCCCATGAACTGGGCACAAAAATAACGAGCTGGCGTCTAAATAAAATGGGAGACTTGGTGGTGATAGAAATCACACCCATCAGAGGTCTCTAAAAGACACACAAAAACGTTCAGGGTTGATTTGATCGAGGACCCACTTGTGCGTCTTTCTGGCAGTCCTGGGTAGGCCATCCAGAGAAAATGTGGTCCTATCATACATGCCATGAAGAAGGCTGTGTCTTAGCTTTATATTAGCACAAAGTTGAGTTCTGAGGAAGTAAAACAAACTGAAACAGAGATGTGTTCCTCCGAGCAGCCCAAACACTGCAGGGCAGCAAGAATAACTTGCTTTTTAACCGCGCTGAATTTAAACACAGGAAGGAAGGGAGGGAGGAAGGAAGGAA